TATATAAAACAAGTAAATTTCCTTGGGTTGTCGATTATATAGGATTAATCTTTTAATATCATGATTGTTATCAATTCTGTTATTGACGAATCAAGGTGTTAATATGCATCACTGCATTCCTGTATAACACAAAACAAAAATAATACTAAAATAAATATTAATAAAATAAGACCTTAAGTGAAATACTCTATTTTCTTTTTAATAATAAAGAAACACCTCTTGAAGATTGCGTAGACATGTCATACACATATGCAAGTTTGTGAACTGTGAGTAGTGTCAAAACTTAAAATTTTTATCTAATGGAACTTTCCGGCGTGTCAATCAAACTAAACAAATGACCAATCAGAACAAGGCCAGGAAAACATGCGATGCACAAACACACATGTTGTCCCAGACATGCGCATGCTTGCATAATATGTTTTTACACAGTCAATGCGTGGGATCATAGCAACAATGTGCCATGGGTAGGGGCTTGACAGAATGGCCCATTATTGTGATCTAGTGTGCATGTGCAAATTTACTCAAGACATAACAACAATAGTTACGAAAACCTGCTAGAGATCCTGCTGAAGATCCAATCAACGTTTAATGGTTCTGTCTGTGTTGTCCAATAAATAAACCAACTAGCAACTCCTGCTGCTATTAATGGAGGAGGCCGCAGTCCTACAATGCTGGCTGTAATGAGGGCGGTAGACAGGTGGCTTGGTTTCAACCACATTGAAGCAACAGTAACTGTCAGTGTCACCAATGAGGGGAGAACTCTCCACATAAATATTGACTGTTGACTCTCTGGTTCTTCAACAAGATCAGCTGGAACCATATCTCTGTTGCCGGTGACCTATTAAAAGAAGAATAAACTTGAATAAGCAAGGTTATTTCTTTTTATGTTTATATTTTGATCTGTTTTGATACCACACTGATAGTGTTAATTAGGGATGGGTAGGGGAGGGGATTATTGATAATAACGTACTATAAGTAACCCACATTAAAAAATAAATCTACAAAAATGACCCACGACTCTAATATTAACCCTAATAATAATACCAAAACTGGGTTGGTATTGAAGTTTTGGCATTCCAGGAGTAACATCAATGACAATGATGTAAAGGACGCTACTCATAAATTGACTGATGATCGAAGATGACGACATTATTTTTAAAAAAAATAAACATAGGAATGGAAAATGCCATACAGACTGTGACTTGTTTCTAATCGTTCACTTGTCAATCAATCAATCAACAAGGATTTGTATAGGACCAATATCCAGGGCAGAATGCAATGTTCAGTGTCGCTATGAAAATGGTATTACTCAAAGTGCAACTGAGGTTAGTTAACAATAATATTTGTAAGATTATGAAAAAAAAACATATTTGTCAAAACACTTTGTATGAAACAGAGAAGAGATAAGATTAAAAAATTTTCTTAAAATAGCTGAGGTAATTATTTTCAAATGCTTAGTGTATGCTTAATAATAATGACCCAGAACTTCACCAGTAACACATCCTCAAAGTGTAACCCACTCTAAAAGCCATAACAAAGGAATATTAACCAAAGTTTTACAGTAAATACATACTTAGATGAGCAATAAATATATATAAAAAGAGTAACTAAAAATCATGTACAAAGCATACACATACCTCCGACACATGACTTCTAAGCTGCTTTAATTCTGTATGAAGTACTTTGACCTTTTTCAATGATTCTAATGTCTCAGTTGATAGGTGTTCTACAATGGCACTATCCACTTTCTCACTTGTTAGAGAACTATGATCCTTCATGTTCTTTCTGACGTAACTGACCGTACTTGAAATGTAACTTATATGCTTGCTAATATTCTCAATAATATCAATCGATTCTTTACAACTGTGAAGAAAGAAATAAGAAACATCAATATTATAGTAATTCACAAAAAGTACATAATGGTCTAAAATTTCAGAAGAAACTTCTTAAAGAGGTGTGTGTGTACAGTAGTAATTACACTGACAATTTGTTTACCAAAGAATTATAAATTTAACTATATCACATGTATATTTATGATTCTATATAGTATAAATCTAAGAATTTATATTCTGACAATAAAGTTGACTTTGTATATTGAAAATTGTAAAAAGATTTTCTGTTAGTAAAACAATAGTAATTATTCTGGAGACTTTTATAGCGCATATGTCTACAACTAGTGCTTAAGCGTTTTCAACACCCAGGCTTGAAAAATCAGACAGAAGGAAAGAAAAAAAAATCCAGGTTTTCCAAATTCAGTCAAAGATCGGTTGATAAAACAGCCACCCATGACCAAATCTTCTTCATACAAGTGACTGGTAGTGGGTCACTTGTATGAGACGGCCAACGGCTCAACATTCCATTTGGAGGGTGTGTAACTTACCTGAGGACTTTGCTATTTGGCGTTCTGATGCTACCTGGCTCCCATTTTTTCTTGTGAATTTCATGAATGGACTTCAAAATCTTTCTTCTTATACCAAGTTCATTGATACCGACCTGTTTCAAAGTATCAAATGAAGTATCAACAATTGGTAAACAAAGAAATACTTTTGCTATAAATATATAAAGTCATTTACTATAAATAGTATTAAGAGTATTATTCATTCCTGATGATGACATAATTAATGTCGAAATATTGAATCCCGACACGATGGCGAGTATTAGGAGCGGTGTGGTGCTGCAGTTGCGTTTCAGACCTGCAGTAATCTTTCTCCACTCAGGAGTACAAGTGTGTAACTGTTAGGTACAAACATAAAGTTCCCTCATTACTTGCTGCAATATTATGGAATTCTCCCTGGGGTGCTGAGTATGTATTCCATATTGTGTTTGATTCAATAACTGGGGAATAATCTGAAGTGCTTAGAGGCCTCATTGGCAACACACACACATGTTAATCCAACATATTGTTATTGTTAGTATAGCAGCTAAAGCTCTGTCCACACTGTATGCCCATATATAGTCGTGATGTGCCTATATATGGTCATGATGTGCCTATATATGGTCATGATGTGATGTCATCATGACCATATTTAGGCATGTCACATGTTTTTGTCAAATAAGATATGATAGTTTGGACAAGGCTTAATGGTATTAGCTATATTCTTGCCTTTTCTAAATCTTGATCATTCATCTGCATGACCATGGCAAAATCCAGTTCCTGCTGTTGAAACACTGGTATAAGATGTCCGAGTTTTAAACCAAACAGAAACAGATCAAGATCACCGTAGCGTTTGTACTTATCCATCCCCTTGGATGCATTTTTCTCACTGGAAAAAATTAGTAGATATTCTTATTCAATTTTGACCGCATACATTATAATAAACATTTGCGAAAAACATATGTATACACCCTTGGATTTTCCATTAGACCATGTTTTTTTCTCAATGTATTAGGTTATACTCAAGTAAATCATATGACAACACAAAGGTAAATTCAGGTAATGTCATAATTTTGGTACAAGCCAAATACTATATTATTATCAGTGCTGTGGTTTATCTGAGGGATGTGGATTTTGGTTTCTGCAAGCCCTTCTAATTTCATTGCTCCTCTTCCATCTGTTTCCAGTGGCAGATTCAAAAAAGAGAAAGGGGAGGGGGCAGCCAGCCCAGGCCCCCCCAACTTTTTCAAAATAATTTAAAAAATTGGAGAAAAAGAAGATTAGGTATATTCAAATTATTTAGGTCTGAGTGCCATTTCTGGCCATGCAGAGGTGCCATACATATAATCACAAATGTTCTTACCTCAGCCCCAAATATGGGCTGAAGTGTTCTAAACCGTCCATTTCTGAAAGGCTCTCCCTGGGGCCCCTTCAATTTCCTGGATTTACCACTGGTTTCTGTTTGTAGGCATTTTAAAGATAGGGATTTTAATGATGCAAAAATAAATGAATAAACAAATTTGGATGATTTTTTTTCTATTTTTATTGTTATGGTGTACTACAGACATGAAAAACAACAGATATTCATACAATTGTTCCTGTCCTTCTGATGGTTCCATGTTATTTTTCGTCCTAAATCTTTCTGGATTCTCATGTTCCTCGATCATCTCTGCTAGCTAATAAAACAAAAGAAATGACATTTATATCATTTGAATTTGCCTTTTTTTTTACTTCTCTATTGGCTACCTGATGGATATCATCACTTGAAGATGTATTAATAAGGATCATTATACAAGAACTCCTGGAAGTAGTTTCTCCCAACTTGGGTTGGCACCAGCTGGGGGTCGTTCGAGGAGGTCCTTGATCCAAAATTATAAATTACGTATTCAAATAATGTGATTTTTTGAATGCCAATCACTATCATTATGATCTAAAAGCACAATTTTGAGACATACTAAGCCACAAAATCTCTCCCATGAACCATAAAAGGTATTTTAATTCTCGGAGGCTCTAGTAGCAAAAAGAAACACATTGTCTATGTGAAGGAATTTAAAGTAATAATATTATTTAATCACCTTTTCATGACCACTGTTGTAGGCTATATCAGAGACAGGACCATCAGCACACCTGGTCTTTGTTCTTGCTTTATTATCCAGTAACTGCTTGGCAATACCTGTGAATCCACCTGCTGCAGCATAGCACAAGGCCTAAAATGTCAAAGGCAACATAGAGTTATGTTTTCTGTTTTCTTTTTCTTCTTATTTTATTTCGCTCATTTCCTCTCGCTTATTTCTTTTACAAAGACACTTGTATAGCACATAGAGACTTCATATTATGCGCTCTATAAATGCCAAACAATACCAATACAGTACCTATATTCATTATTAGTGGAACATTTTCAAAGAATTATTTCAAAACATTACAGTATTAATCTAAATTATTTAGTACAACACAAAAAAGGTGGAAAAATATTGGGATCAACACAAAAGTAAATTCACCCTAAAGCACAGACCATCAGATTTTAAATGGATTATACAAGAAAATAACAATGAAACATTTGCTGACAACTGCTGACACCCCTCCCCTGCAAATCCTGAATTTCAAAATTCTGGTACCACCCCCTACTGAGAACATTTACTTACTGTCCATCCTCTGTCATCTTGTTTGTTAATGTCACATTTGCATTTAATCAGATAATCGACAACGGACGCCAAACCAGATTTAGCTGCAAACATCAGTGCTGTCATAAAATGCCTAAAAGATATAAAATTCTATTCATTTAAAAACTTTTACTAATTAATAGTATGAACAAATATCTGTGGGCTCATAAGTGAACCCACTCTCTGAAAAAAGAAACCATTAAAAATTGTTTTCTGGTGCAAGAAAAAAAAAAATCACCACTAGGACCCAATCAAGGCTAAAGTATCATCATGTCTAATTCTACCACTACACAAACACAAGATCAAGTCATCATCTGCTTGTATCACCATTTTTATCATGCCATCATGTGCTAGAAACTGTGTCCAGCTCTGGCTGAAACAAAGTATCTAGCAAGTGTGCGGGTATGATAACAAAAATCTATGTAACTATTTGATGTAGGATCTATTCCTTACCTGTCGTGGCTGTTAATATGTGCACCATGATTGATGAGTTGTTCAACACAACTTAAAATTTCATCTTCCAATGCTGTTGAGCAGCATCCAGCCAAGAGTGGAGTGAACAGGTCTAAAAGACAGTAAAAAACATGTCAATCTCATGTAGCACATGATACGTAGGCCTCTAAATGCTTCACATTAATACCCTACTCAGTACATGATGCCAAGGCCTCTACTTGCTTCACATACCCCAATCCAGCACATAATACCAAGGCCTCTACACACTTCACATACCCCAGTCTAGCACATCATACCAAGGCCTCTACACGCTTCACATACCCCAGTCCAGCACATCATACCAAGGTCTCTACACACTTCACATACCCCAGTCTAGCACATAATACCAAGGCCTCTACATGCATCATATAGCCCAGTCTAGCACATCATACCAAGGCCTCTACATGCATCACATACCCCAGTCCAGGACATGATACCAAGGCCTCTACACAGTTCACTTTAACACCCCAGTCCTTGAATTAAAGCATTTGCAAAATACACTCAGCTCCTCCTTGAGGAGTATTCCATAATATTGCAGCAAGTAGAATAAAGAACAATAATAATTAACACCATATTGATAATCCCTATAATCCTGGATTGATAAAATGCTTTTTCCAAAGTCAGCTTCAGACTTGCTGTGAATATTAGTAGTTTTGTAGATATAATACAATGCATATTAATTTTCTGTACAATGGTATATCTACTAATATTGAAATAAAGGCAGTTGATGGAGGTACAAAAATTAAGTGAGGGGGTGTTAGATGGCCAAAAATAAGAAAAAATGAGGTAATTTTTAATTCCCAGGTTGGGAACAAGAAGGGGGTAAAGGGTGGGGGTATAATTTCTTAAATTGTTCTGATTGCTTCATCATCATCATTATAACTATGATATGTTTCAAATATATAAATAAATATTATAAATCAATTCTGTTAGTTATATTGAATCTTAATTCTCATCAATAAATAATACTTGACAGAATTCTTACCACATGTAAAATTTGGATTGGCCTTATTCTCCAGCAAATATTCAACAATATCTGCCTTTCCTGAAGATACAGCATACATTAGGCAGGTCCAACCAGCATGGAGCTTAAAGTCTACAGGAACACCTTTGAAATAGTGTCAAAAATATACATATTAAATTTCACCTCTTGACAACTTTATTAGAGAAAGAATAACAGTACAATTACAGTGTCATATTGTAATTCCTTATTAACAGTACAGAAGCATTATAAAATACCGTATTAAAATGAAATCATAAGACCCTGGATAGCACATAATCTTAAGGAAATGGCCACTCTGCTAGGTTGTGATTAGACTTGCCACAATTTTTCTTATTTCTTTTATTTTTCTCATTCTGGACAGTGCCACCAATGAGAAAGTTTATTTAGAGACGAATAAGTGCCGCTCTCGAGTACTTGCTGCATTGAAGCATCCAAAAATTGTATAAGCGCCACAGCGCTTATTTGAGCAGTACTGTAATTAAGTTTTAGTTCAGTTTTTAGCGAAGTTAAAATCTCCTGTATCACTTTGCTGATTGTATTGTTCTCGACCAATGTAGAAAGAAAGGCCTTTTACTTGAATCGGATCACCATGTTTTACAAGTGCTTGTCCGTGTGTTTGAAAGACAAATGTATGCCTGAGTTTTCAAAAAATATTTTAATGAAAGGAACATACAGTACCTTCTTGTATGAACTTCTTAACTTCATCCAAATTTCCTTTCGAAATGGCAGTTCTCAGATCATCTGCAACCAATAAAGAGCCTTGCTTATCACGCTGAGGCATTTTATAATGCAGCTGGTTTTTGGAGGCGTCTTTTGTGTCCATAGGTGGTGAACCAATTGTAAATTTGGCCTCTGATTCCAAATGTGGTATGTCCTATGTATATAAATTTCAGGGAAACACACAATATTTAAAAAAATACAAAATGCACAAAGCCAATATCAGCTTGTTCAATCTTCCAACTACCTGTAAGTTTGTTAAGACGTTTAATCAATGCGATGGGTACATACGTATTGACCAAATCGAAAATTTCAGCCTTTTTGGGCTGAAACAACCCTTCTGAAAATTGTTAAAAAATTGGATTATCTTGCAGATAGCATTTTTTTTAAATGGATAAGGGGACAAGAACAAGAGGGCATAAGTTTATGGTTAAAAGGGTTTCAGGAGTAGTATCAGGCAGAATACCTTCTCGATAGGAGCCATTAATTATGGGAAGTCACTGTCTGCACATGCTGTTGAGGCTACTACAGTAAACAGTTGAAAGCAGCTTTGGAGAAATTCTGAGCAAAACACCCCTATGACCCATATGGAAGAGTTCCAGTTTATGTAATGAGGGGCAAATAAACATCGCTTCCAGCCTCTACATCCAAGTAATTCCAAGTAATAAGTAAAGGAATCGGATGCCAAAATGACTTGGGTCAAAACGGAAAACTGGGAAGGCCCAAGTGACATGAATTAGGAAAGTAGACCAAATCACATCAATAATATTATCTGGTTTACTTCTTAAATTATAGGACTGATCCTATAAATGTAATGTATATCAGCATTTTGAGTGTATGAAAAAGAAGTCTTCATTATTTTTATCTATTTTCAGAAGAAAAAAAAGACATAAGACTATATGTAGAAAAATCTCTTTATCTCATAAAAATATATACAATAAAACAATATAATTACAGTTACGAACCAACTCGGACCTAAAACCCAAAGTTAGGGCAAATAGAAAAATTTATTAGATTATCACTCCCGTCCGCGTCAAAAATTCGGAAAATATTGATGCGGGAATAAAAAAATTTTTTTTTGCCGCATCAATTATTTTAACAGCATAAAAATAACAATGCAATTTTGTGACTTCAAATACATATTCTTTAAAATACTATAAAATTAAGCCACTTTTTATACAATATTTACTATTACTAGCCAAATAAAACAGTCCCTCCCTAATTGATAAAAACAGAAGCGAAAAAATCTATTGTTAAAAATTTAAAAAACTAAAAAACAAAAAAAAACCGCCCTCCCTCATCGATTTTTTTTTTAAAGAGTGATAATCTAATAATTTTTTCTATGTGCTCTTAGGCTAGAAGATAACTAGGGATTGCATTGAGTTATTAGGCCTAGGCAGGATTGAAGGGCCTAGCCTAGATAGGGTCCTCCCTTTCTAGGTAGAAATGCCTAGACCTTGCCTACGTAGTCCTCTAGAAGCAGAAGGCCTAGGCTAGGGAGGCCTCCTCCTACCTAGCTAGGCTGGGCCTAGCCTAGGAAGGAGCTAGCGCCCGTGCGTGCGTGCTGGGCCAGGCCTAGGCCCTAATTTTTACGAAAATTGTGCACTTCAATTTATAAAAATATTCTTAATGTTATCTTACGTTAAATGAAGTAGAACTAGAGTAGGCATTGTCAAAGTTAAAGCCATCATCATCTGAGTCAAAATCTTCATCACCGGCAGGTCTTACATTCATGTACGCAGCCATTTTGAAAAAGGAAAAAGACTATTCGCACGGTACCGTGCGAACAGCAGTCACTTCTTTCGAACTTCGTTTGGAAACACTGCCCCCAACCATGAAATTTCGTCTCCACAGTAAACAAATGGCTTCCGCAGACAGTAGTTATTGGAGTTGTGCAACACACAGAAACTTGTTGAAAAAATGGTAATTTAAGTAATAATTATATATTTCATAATGTATAACGTTAACTATTTGCTCGTACAATGCATATTATCCTAAATATATGAACAAATTATAAATTCAGTAAGTGGAGTAACGTCGATAATTTTTAGGCCTGGCAGGGCTGGGCCCTTTGCATTCTTGATTGACAGAGGCAGGCCAGTGGAA